ATTACTATATTTTCTTTCTTTCACATGCTACTATCATTGCTGTTCATGAGTAAACTATGGTTACACTTCCTAATCTGACAAAATGTAATTTCACTCTCTCCATTACTACACTTTAGTTTTGGTTATACTATATGTTGAAGCTCCCTGTGTCTCAGCATTAAGTCTCAGAGCGTTCAACTCTGTACATCGGGTTTCGATACCTGCGGAACACAGATAGCGCAATGTGTAGCTTTGCGCTTAACAACAAACAAGCAAACAAACAAACAAAATACGCTAAAGGGAATTAACTACGTAAAGTATACATACAAAATCTCCCGAGGAAATGTCTTTTTTTTTTTATATAATAATTTGCAATTAATCAGTTCACCAGTGGGACAACGGTAAATGTAAGGACTTACAACGCGAAAATCCGAGGTTCAGTTCCCCGCAGTGAACACAGCAGGTAGCCCCCCAGTGGCACAGCGCCATGTCTGCGGACTTACAACGCTAGAAACTGGGTTTCGATACTCGTGGTGGGCAGAGCACAATTGGCCATTGTGTAGTTTTGTGCTTAATTCCAAACAAACAAACACAGCAGGTAGCCCATCATGGTTTTGCTCTAAAATTTGTTTGTTTGTAATTAAGCACAATGCTACACAATGGGCTATCTGTGCTCTGCCCATCACGGGTATCGAAACCTGGATTCTAGCGTTGTAAGTCCGCAGACATACCGCTGTGCCACTGGGGAGCTTGCTCTAAAGACAAACAAACAAGCAATTAACCGAATATTTTCTCCAAATGTATGAAATCTGTTAAAAGTTATAAGCAAATGTATTTTTGTCTGTTGCGTATTTCTGGAAATGATGAAAATAATATGAAAGAAGGCCTAATCCTTGTCATTCACTAAAACTGGCACATTATTCTATTGCACATTTGAAATCTAACTGCACTATCGAGAACTTTTTTTTTACAAAAGGTGACTAGGAATCACGATCTACTGGAAATACTTGAGAAGTTTACAGCTCACACTTTTACAGAGCATATACAAACACAAATGTTACATAGTTTTCAATATTCGGTTTTTATAACAAAACATGCTTTTAAATCCACGAATTAAAAAAAAAAACATTAAGCAGAAACATTTCTGTAATAAGATGTAAGAATCAAAGCGTAATGATGCAATGAATACAAATTTCATCTTTTCTAAGCCAGATACAGTTTTATATGATTAACACTTGGTTCAGAACAGTTTATCTCAAATTTTTTATAGAGGATACATTTACAATAACCTTATAATACATTAGGGTTAAGCAAATCAACATAGATTCCTGTATCACATTTCACTTTTTAAACTTTATAATATTCAATTGTTACAATCGGTTCCTTGGTCTGAAAAGTTACCAACTGAAACCGTTTCTTTCTCTGGCGATTTGCTTAACTTTATTGTTTTCGTTATCTAAATCTGTCACCGACGCGGAATTCGTTCATTTCTCTGTAGCTACCGCAATCTAATGTTCAACTTCACTATTGTCTGAACGCTTTACGTTTATTGGGAATAGTTTTATAATATTAATTTCTTCTAATTATTTTATTGTGTAACATCGGTTTCATGATTTTATATTTCATGTTCTGATCTAGTTAGCTTATTCTTTATCAGAAATTCTTAATAATTACTGGATCATTTCAAAGTTTTAACCCGACTACATTCTTGGTGATCTAATCATCGCAGTCCATTACTTAACTTGATTATAGTAAGGAATAACTAATTATCATAGTCTAACCATTGTCTAGATGATCTGTTTGACGTAATCCAATAATTACCTTGATTATAATCTTGAATATATAACTACTAAAGTCCGGTGTTTAACCTCATCATAGCCTGAATGATCTAATTATCTTAGTCCAATGATTGCCTTCATTGTATTCGTGACTATTTAACTACCAGTGTTTAACCTGCTTTTAGCCTGAATGATCTAATTATCTTAGTCCAATGATTACCTTTATTATAATCTTAAATATCTAACTACCAAAGCTCAGTGTCTAACATGATTATATCCTGAATGAGCTAACTACTTTAATTAAATATTTTATCTCATAGTCCACTGTTTACCTTCATTATTGTTGGGAAAATCTATTATCACAGTCCAATGTTCAAACACCATATACTCATCACACTTAATTTATGGTCATTCAATACTTAAAGTTTTTATAGCCTGAACGACATATTAATTGTAATCCAGTGTTTAGGAGACTTTTTTTTATCCATAATGCAAAGGACACATTTATTTAAGCACCGATTTAAGTTGTCAAAGAAAAGGATCGGCACGTTTATTATAGTTGGTCAATGTTTAAACTACTGATAGCTTGGAAAACAGGTTTCTCAGCGTACATCACTGTTTAGCAGTTAGTAGTCGAATCAACACATTTTTCAACGCTCCATAAATGTTAAATTTCTTAGAAGTCTCGACGGCATATTCACCAGTGATGGCATCGTCTTTTCCTTAATAGGGATTATACATTTACCTGAGATATGGATCGAGTGTGACCTAGTGGTTAGCATGCTGAAATTATGAATACGGGGGTTAATGGTTCTCGTCCC